TTCAAAGATACTATTCAAGATATTTTTAAACTTCAAATGCTGATACATATTGATGAAAGCTATTTAACTGCATCAACATTTTTTGATGAAAGCTATTTAACTGCATCAACATTTTTTGATGAAAGCTATTTAACTGCATCAACATTTTTTGACCTTGACCGCACTTTCCTTAAATAAGTGTTTAGCTCAGTTTTAAAGAAACCATTCAAGATAGTGTTATCAAACTTCATATGCTGATACATATTGATGTATGCTTTTGAACTGCATCAACGTTTATTGACCTGGACTTTTTCTTTGACCTTGACCTCACTTTTCTTAAATTAGTGTTTAGGTCAGTTTTAAAGAAACCATTCATGAAATTTTTATCAAACTTCATATGCTAATACATACTGATGTATGCTTTTCAACTGCGTTAACATTTTTTGACCTTGACCTTTCTTTTGACCTTGACCTCACTTTTGACCTTGACCTCACTTTTCTTAAATTAGTGTTTAGCTCAGTTTTAATGAAACCATTCAAGTTATATCAAATTTAACATGCTGATACATATTAGTGAGAGCTATTCAACTGCATCAAAAACTGTTGACCTTGACCTTTCCTGTGATTTGACCTCACTTTTCTTAAATTTGCATTTTGCTTAGTTTTAAAGAAACCATTTCAGATATTTTTATGTAAGCTTATGCTCTTGTACATAATTTCATGAGAATTTATCATCTATATCCTATTTTTTAGATTTCAATTTCAATTTTAAAGAAACTATATAAGATATTGTCATCAAACATCATACACTAATACAAATTTTCATGTTGCATTACTAATATACCCTCGGGGGGCATTCATGTCCCATGGACATATTTCTAGTTGACTTTTTCTTCAGAACTACTTTGCCAGTTTCAACCAAACTTGCCACAAAATATCCTTTGGTGAAGGGGATTCAAGTTTGATCAAATGCTTAACCACACCCTCTTTCAAATGAAGATAATACTCTGTGAAAATTTGACAGTTTGTTTTAAAAATCTTTTCTTAAAGAATCACTCAGCTGAAAGAAGAAAAATTATATGAAAGCTTCCTGACATAGTGTATATTCAAGTTTGTTCAAATCAGGACCCCTGGGGGTAGGGTTTCCAAAATAGGAGATCAAAGTTTTACATAGAAATATATTGGAAAAAACTTTAAAAATCTGCACAAGAACAGCTTGGCCATGATATGAACTAATAATATTTAAATATCTTCAATGCATAACCAATTCTTCACATATAATGGGGGTGGGGGGAGGGTAGGATGGGGCCTCAATAGAGGATACACATTTTATATGGGAATATATATATATATATATATATATATATATATATATATATATATGTATATATATATATATATATATATATATATATATATATATATATATATATATATATAAAATTCAAAAATAGTTATAAGATGATGTCACACATTAAAAATACTGTACGTATACTTAAATTGGCGTATTCAAAATTTAGCTCAATCACTGGGTATGGTGTTGTTGGCGTAATCATGAATTAGCGCTACGCATGTCCGTGCCGTATATTGTATTTATAAATAATTTCTTAGCGGTATCCATGAATTAGTGCAATGATGTCCCTGCTAAAGCCGCTTAAATATGAAGCCCTCTTTTTTAAGTACACATACAGTAATCATAGAAGAAAAAGAAAATGAATGGAATGAAATTTGGAAACTGTGCATTTTCTTTTTCTTTTATGATTATATATATATATAGAGAGAGAGAGAGAGAGAGAGAGAGAGAGAGAGAGAGAGAGAGAACATTCTTCAGAACAGCAGGGCCATGATTCAAATATCAGAATATATAGGAAGAAATCTTGGATTAATATAATATGCAAGTATTCTGAAGAATATTTGTTTCAGGTATAAAAATTTTGTGTAGGAATATATGGGGAAAAACTTTAAATTAATTGTAATTAATATTTAATTAAAATTTATCTCAAGAATAGTCTAGGCATGATTATTTCTGCTTTTAATAGCCAAGCAACTTCAGGTAATGCAGATTGAAGATTGTTTAAATTATGACCCCAGAGATTGTATGAGGCAATAACATCGGGTAAAAAAAAGTGTTGGAAAATAGAGGGGAGAAAAATCTCTTTCTGAAGAACAGCATTGGTACTGTGACTCAGGTGAGCATTGCGGCCCAAGGGCCTCTTGATTCACTTATCATTGGATGGGACATTCATTTTCTATGGACATATTCATAGATCAATTTCGAAGTTTATGAGACTATGACCTTGGTTGTACTGTTCAAGAGGCATATTACATTGACCTTATGTAAGCATTAAGATACTTGTAATCAAAACATACCCAGCAACAGCATTATTTGTACATGTACTTCTGCATGTATAGTGTTTGACAAGGCGATTATATACTTGTATATAGGTTAATGTTCTGAATTTGTTTTGACAGATTCCCCAGGATGTGCTGAGCAGTTATTAAGAGGATGAAGAAATCACCACCTTACAGGTTATCATAATTCCTTCACATGCAAAAGTTCATAAGGCCAAAATAAAATTAGTCAATAGTTCCTCGGGCACCACTGCATCAGGTCAAACATTGCCGCATTGATCAATTTTATTGACATATTGAAAAGGGAAATAACTCAATTTTCTATTTTTTCCAAGCAGAAAAAGAAAATTGAGTTATTCCCCTTTTCATACATGCTAATAAAATACGGTTTTATTAGCTCACCTGATTGAGCTTTTCTGATCAAATTTTGTCCATCATCCATCTAGCTGTCTGTCCGTCCATTCGTCTGTAAACTTTTCACAATTTCAACTTCTTTTTCAGAACCAATGGCCAATTTCAACCAAACTTGTCACAAAGCATCCCTGGGTAAAGGGGATTCAAGTTTGCTCAAATGAAGGGCCATGCCCTCTTTCAAGGGGAGAAAATTAAGAAATAGTGAAAATTGGGTGGGGTCATTTAAAAATCTTCTGAAGAACCACTGGGCTAAAAAAGATGAAACTTACGTGAAAGGTTCCTGACATAGCATAGATTCAATTTTGCTTAAATTTATAACCCCGGGGGGTAGGGTGGGGCCACAATGAGGGATCAAATTTTTACATAGCAATATATAGGAAAAAATCTTCAAAAATCTTCTTCTCAACAACAATATGATAAGTCATATTGATATGGAAGCACCCTCAGTTAGTGTTAATCCAAGTTTGTTCAAATCATGACCCCCAAGGGTTGGATGGGGCCACAAGGGGGGATCCAAGTTTTACATATGAATATATAGGAAAAAATCTTTAAAAATCTTCTCAAAAAAACGCAAAGCCATGATTAGTCATATTGACATGGAAGCATTCTCAGGTAGTGTAGATTCAAGTTTGTTCAAATCTTGACCCCAGGGGGTAGTGTGGACCCACAATAGGGGATTAAACTTTAACATAGGAATATATAGGAAAAAATCATACAAAAATCCTCTTTTCAAGAATAGCAAATCCATGATAAGTCATATTGATATGGAAGCATCCTCAGGTAGTGCAGATTTAAGTTTGTTCAAATGATGACCCCCGGGGGTAGGGTGGGTCCACAATGGGCTATCAAAGTTTAGCATAGGGATATATAGGAAAAAATCTTTAAAAATCTTTTTTTTAAGAACAGCAAAGCCATGATAAGTCATATGAATATGGAAGCATCCTCAGATAGTGTAGATTCAAGTTTGTTCAAACCATGACATCTGGGAGTAGGTTGGGGTCACAGTGGGGGATCAAAGTTTTACACATTAGGGATATATAAAAGAAAAAATCTGCTGACGAAGAACAGCAGGGCCATATTGACTCAGTTGAGCGCTGTGGTCCATGGGCCTCTTGTTATATACATCTTGTAAAAACGGTATTTTATAGATTAACTCCTTATTAAAATGTTTGGACTAAAATTAATTTAAGTTGAGTCTATATAATAATTAACATAAGAGTACAAAAAGTAAGAAGACGTTGATATCATCATTTTGTTGACTGACAAGAGAAAAGATTCAGATAAAACCTTTAAAAAAAAGAAGAAAAAACTGCTTGCTGCATTGAACTTTTGGCCTGAGAAACTAAAAATTGATTTTTTTGGCCTAAACTATAAAAGTAAATGCAGTACATTTGTAGATGTATATGTTTTGTTCTTGTTTTTTTTAACAAACAATCAAAATTAAAGCTATCATGATTTGAATTTTGTAATTTCAAAAAATAGACATGATTTTCTCATAATTAAAATAAGGTAAATGAAATATGTTTTTGTAAGAGTGATAAATAATAATGTCCTTTGTTTTTTTTTTTTTACTCACTAGGACAAAGAAACAAGATGAAAAGAACAAACTAGTGGTTACCAGCTAGAAGAAATTGATGTGGTAAACATTTCTCTGTTACTTTATATATTAACTGTGTTAAATCATACTATAGGTCATGCTTAAATATAGAGTGTGGCATATATTAAGAAAATCTATATTTTATACTGCACAGCCTTGTAACTTATGAATTAATGTTTGTAAGAAGACCGGGTTTATCATGATAATTCTTCTGTAAATTATTAAGTTGACTCACTGGACTGTAAATACAATGTAGGAGAATGTAATGTTTCAAATGATTTCATATTATCACCTACAAGAATCTTAAAAGTCCTCCAGTATTTCACAATTTATATATGTGTTTTAATTTGTGAATATTTATCTGTTAGACAGGTTTGATTGAGAACACTTGGAGGCTGCTATTCATTGAGACAAAACATTCAGCACCCAGTATAAAGGTATTAATATGTTTATTTATATGTCTTAATTCTATTCCATTCCATAAGTTCTTAAAACCAAGACATTGGTAAAATAAGTATATTGTAAAGAGAGAGCTGTTATTGATGTAGATAATTCTAACACAATGTTGTTATTTACAGAGAAATCTCCCTGACTGAGGAAATCAACACGGGATTCTGAAACCACAGGATAAAGATGAAATAAATGTCTGCTGTTAGTGATGTATAGATTAGTGTTACAGAAGTCTGTCACAGTGACAGGTGTTAGGTGTGGTTATCACATTACCCGTGTTTCATCAGACCGGGTCTGGATCAGTGATTATAACAATCTCATCTTGACAAACACAGCAGGGGATAAACTACATCATCTGACAGGTATAGATCGTGGTTATGGAGTACACACAGTGACTAGAGACGGTGATTTAATTTATATAGACAGTCACAGTAACATCAACAAACTGTCTACAGATCACAGAGTAAAGTCTACATTAATAAAGTACACAGCACCATGGGTACCACAGTGTGTCTACAGCTCCCCCTCCACTGGAGACCTGCTGGTGGGGATGTATAGATATGATACAGATACAGCCAAGGTAAACCGTTACAACAACACAGGAGAACACATACAGACCATACAGTACGACAACAACACAGGTCAGGGACTGTATAGTTATCCTTACTACATCACAGAGAACCGCAATGGAGATGTTATTGTGTCTGACTGGCGCCGTGTAGTGGTGACAGATGGTGTAGGTAGACACCGCTTCTCCTACACAGGACCTCCATCAGGATCAGGACTAGCACCACGTGGAATCTGTACTGACGCGCTGTCACACATCCTGGTGTTTGATCTTAACACCCACTCAGTACAGATACTGGACTGTGACGGGAGATTCCTGTCACAGATAGAGACACGACAACACGGGATAGACAGACCATGGGGCCTGAGTTATGATAACAACTCTAACTGTGTCTGGGTGGGATCAGTGAACAACAACACAGTGAACATCTACAGACTTATACATGAAGACTCCCTGACTGGTAAGTTATACTAAAGTATGATTAGGTGTTTTGTTTAACAATATTTAGTGTGTACAATTTATTGTAGTCATTGTTTTATATGTAATTACAAGACATTAATGAACAATTATAGTCATTGTTTTATATGTAATTACAAGACATTAATGAACATTAATTATTATAGTCATTGTACAAGACATTAATGAACATTAATTATTATAGTCATTGTTTTATATGTAATTACAAGACATTAATGAACAACAATTATCATATTCATTGTTTTATATGTAATTACAAGACATTAATGAACAATAATTATTATATTCATTGTTTTATATGTAATTACAAGACATTAATGAACAATTATATTCATTGTTTTTAAAGTAATTACATTACATGGTTAATTCAGTTCTAACTTGTTGCATTAAGTAACAAGAAATATTTCTATGATGAAGGTATATAAATTATAAACTGTAATTTATAACTAAAATATATCATTTTCAGATAATATACTTATTATTTAATTAATTAAGAGTTCTTATAATGTGTACTTGGTTTAGTTTATAACTTTGTTATGTTAGACAAACAACTGATTTGTTCAGATCAGACTTGACATAGATTCTGTCCTACATCACATACAATGTATAATGTACTCTGACTGGTTAAGGATATGTTTTTGTCTTCTATTTGGGTTGACATCATAATTTTATAGCAGGCACTGCCAAAGTGAGTAAATGAGTAGCAGTACAGTTGTCTGGTTTGTAGGTTAACTTTATGGATCACTAGAAATGTCAGAAAATGTATATCAGTACAGTTGTAAAATGGGTGGGGTGTGTAGGGTGATGTATGTAGAGTGAGGTGTGTGGGGTGGGGTGTGTGTGGGGTGGGGGTATTGGAGATTAGGGGTTTGGAGGGGTCAGTGTCATAGTTCTTAATGATAGTTGATATATGGTTCTTTCAGTATTCCGTTCAAGCAAAATACAATGGACAGTGACTATACTGTACAATATTTTACAGGCTTTTAACAGATGACATTTTGTACATGTTGACCATGTTGACAGATATAGACACCATTGATATTAACACAGCTCTGTCTAGGAATGTTGTGTATTTCTGTAGCAGGTGTTCTGTAAATATACACTGTGTACTGAGTTGACATTCTACATGTATATTACATAAAATTTTTGCCAGATTAAAAATAAAACCAAATTTCAGAATTATTTAATTTTAGTTAAGACCTGTTGGAAATGCAATGAAAAAGTGATTCATTCTAATGATATTGATGTGTGAAAGTAAGCATCTGTGAGAATAATTCAAACATTGAACTTAATTTATACCAGTGTACAAACAAGTTCATAGCTTACTAAAAACAATTGAAGGTTACATGGTTTAGGTGAGTTTAAATACAAACAGTAAAAGTTGTACCCTGGTATTTGACATTAACTCTCTTTTCAAAATCCTTATTACACAATTAAGACACGACCCCATGACCACAGTCACCTGTAAACGAAGTTGGGGGGTGTATAGGAATCACCTTGTCCCTCTGCCTGTGCAGTCTTCCATGGTGTGTAACTTTGTAATGGAGAACCATTGGATGCATTATTAATTACATGTATCTAAGTCCAATCAATGGTGTACGGGGATTTACCCCGGGTTTTATTCAATACACCCTGAGGGTAAGGCTAAATCCTCGTACACCCTTAATTGAACCTGGATAACGAATTTATTTCCTATGTAAACAAATAAATTCTTTGTAAACACAATTCCAATCAATGGTGTTTCAAACTATAAATGAGATTTACTACATGCATGCTGCAATGCATCGTGACGTCATATTAATTGCTTTAAAATTGTGATAGAAAAACTATGCATTGTGAGGTCATGTTATTTACTCTGGCTCAAGCCAGGTGCAAGATAATTTACACCGGCTTGCTAACCAATCAAATATAGTGTTACAAGCTGGATTTTTTATGACCTGAGGGTGTGTCACGACCTTAATTCAAGGTCATTCTTGCAAGTTCAAGGTCACAAAAAGAAAAAGTATAAAACTCTTCTCCAAGCTATACCTTTGAAATGGAGAATCATTGGAAGCTTTTACTTGGTACAAAGATTGTTTATATCTGAGTGTTTTTGATCATTGACTTTGACTCAAGGTTGTCTAGGCAAGTTCAAGGTCACTGGCACAAAAAGTACAAAACTCTTGTCTGGGCTATAACTTTGTAATGGAGAATCAATGGAAGCTCATGCTTTGTACAAAGTTTGTTTATGACCTGAGGAATGTGTCATAACCTTGACCCATTGTAATAGTGACAAGTTCAAGATCACTGGCAGAATAAATTATAAAATTCTTGACATATTAAAATTTTCTAATTAAAAAACATTAGATGTCCATATTTCACTCAAAGATTACTAGTGACCATGATGACCAGAGTATGTGTAAAATTTTTGGTCATTTTGGCAAGTTCAAGGTCACACTTACAAAATTGCAAATAGGCACTTTAGAAAATGCAGCATAGGTTATTTGTGAGCTTGCTCACAGTACCTCTGCATGGTTCATGTTTGGTATGTTCCCTGTTACAACCACTCTTAGACTAGTGTAACACACACATGTAGCTGTTGCCTGCGTGGCGCAGTGGTTAGAATGTCTGCTATAGAGTCACAGAGTAAGGAGTTGATCCTAACGTCGTGGGTACCAATCTACTGCTGGACGTGAGACCAGCCCTTAGTATGAGACCAAGGTCCTGTGTCGGAGTAGGTGTTGGCATGAAAGAGAACCCTCACCGCTCAATAGCCCTGAGTGCCAAGCAAAGATATAAATTTACAGCCCTCCATCCACAAGTGGTGGTGTCTCCATATGAGTGAAAAATTCTTGAGAGGGATGTTAAAACAATAAACAAACAAATACACATGTAGCTCATTTTGTAACAGGGTCATAAGAAAGTAAAGCTATTTTGTGTGTATTTTACCTGAGTCATAGTTCTAATGGTGATTTGTCCCTTTGATAATCCTGAGATACAGTAAATATCTTTAATTCTTTGTGTTAAAAATTTCTAGATTTTCTTCGTTCCTAAATGTCACAGTGGTTTTATAAATGTTTAAAAATTATTTATATGCAATATGATATACTTTAAAACAGAAATGATGATATGTATGAATATTTATCTCAATACATATGATTTAGTATGTAAAAAATTCCTGGGGTTGTCTTCATATTGGCTATGTTGGTGTTGACTCTTGTCTTTGTGGTGAGTTTTCCTGATTCCATTTCAATTTCATGGTCATTGAATTTCTCAATATTTAATATTTTGATTGAAAAAATATTCTTAAAATTAAAAAAGAAAGTTGTTTTAAATTATTCATAACACATGTATCATCATGATCAAGTAATTACCAGTTATTTTTTAGGGCTGATTTGGGGCCGAAATTCGGCCCCAGTCCCAATTGAAAATATGCCTGTATTTTCCCAAAATATATTGAAAGTTTTCCCAAAGAAAAACTTGCAAAATATGTGATTAATTTCAGTTTGTTTAGTGTATGTTTTTCAGTGAAGTTCAAGCAGGTTTTGTTGTTCAGCCATGTTGGATTTCTTCATAATTTATAGATATTTCATTGTCTGACGTCATGGCGTCAGACAGTACTAGATTTAGCCAAGGCTTGGTGGTCAAGTCGTTCAATAGAATTCTTGTGATAACTTGATGGAAACTTCATACTATCTTAACTATCAATTGGAGAGCATGTGGAGTAATAGAAACATGCTAAACACCCAAACTGAGCTGATGTCATTATTATCACATTATAAATACATTACAGGTTACATGGCATTTGGCCATTCTTGAAAATTGCCTCATTCATGTCCAGCAAAACAGAGGGAATGAAGCGGGTCAGGTCAACACTTCAGTGGCGATTGTCTTTATCAGATTAACTAATGGATGTTTATTTTCAATGCATAGTACGCTATGTCCCTCTATCTTTATAAATCTACACATATTCATAACTTGCAGACTTTTGATTTATTCATAGTTAAAAAAAATATCAAAGTGAAGGATAGATGTTGAATATTCTTTTGCTTTAAATTAAATGCAAAGATATTAGCTCATTTGAAACCCCTTTTTTTTCAATAAGACATTTCTTAATTATCAAAATTGTTCACCAATTGATGTTAAGATTTTTATGTGTTGTAACTTTTTCTTTCAAAAGTACTGGTTATATCTTTCTATTCATTGACAGGCCCGTTGGAATAAATTTCAGTTTCGGGTGCATGGACACAATCAAGGAAAAATTCCTTATTGAGCATGAAAAAAAATTATCCGAAGTTAATATTTACATGATTAAGGGGACATAAGCATAAAGTAGCTATGTTGTAAATGGGCAAAATTATTGAGCTCATGGTCCTCAACCCCACCCCCCTTCCCTGTTCCTATGTCCGTGAAAAAAAAGAATTTAAAAGTAATATAGTGTATATAGAACCACGTCTCTGATAGAATAAGTTTCTGAACTGAACTTTTTTTGTTTCTTAGTGCTCAAAAGAATTCATTTCATGATTCAAAGTCATGTTGATTACACTGGATTTAACTTTTCCTGATTCATCGCGTAAAAATAAATTTGCACAAGTCAGACAAGCTTTTTAGGAAAGCTAATACTTGTACCACTATTGTTCTTGATATAAGTAATTAGATAATTCATACCAAGAATAGTCTTGATTTGTTATAACAATTGTTTGTTAAAGTAATACAAAGACAAAAACAAAGTTTTTTGACAATGCTTTTTATGTGACTGGGTTTTCTTGGAAATTCCAAATTTAGCCTAATTGATGCTGGAATTCCCAATTCTGAGGGCCCCAGCCCCCAGTCCCAAAGTACTGAGAAAAACACTGGTTACTCTATGCCAGTGCTACCAAAGTAAGAGACTTCAATGCATTTTTATTTTGATCAGTAACAGCTATAGGGCTCAACATTAACTTTAAAACAAACTAGACTAGTTATCCTAACAACTTCACTAAAGACTGGACCTCAAATTCACTAGACCTGACCTTAATTTCACTAGTCAAGACCTCAACTTCACAAGTACTGACCTTATCTTCATTAGACCTGACCTCATCTTCACTAGACTTGACCTCAAATTCACTAGACTTGACCTCAAATTCACTTTTTCTGACCTCACGTTCACTAGTCCTGGCCTAATATCTTTAGACTATTGAATGACTCATTTAATATTACTAGAATAGAACTTGTTTGTCAGTCCAAATTTTCTCAACCAGAGAGCTATAGTTCTGCAGCTACCTTGAAGCAAAATAAAATAGACCGTACCAAACTTTTACTAGTCTGAGTCAGTCAGACATGCCTTAATGTGAAGCCCTGTAGTCATGTGTATTCTGTGCTGAAATGTAAAGAAATTAAATCATGATTATATATGGTTTTTATTTATTGCTTTGCAGAGTTTCTGAGGAAGGAGAAGACAACTGTTTTTCATGCCAGAGGAATACTTGTTGGATGTACCGAGGCTGGAAAAACAACACTACTGAGGCGATTAAGAGGGAAACGACAAAATGTAGGTGAAGTTACAAAGTCATTCAGGGGAATAACAACACTGCTGAAACGATTAAGAGGGAAACGTCAAAATGTCAGTGAAGTAACAGAGTCCACTAGGGGACTGGAAGTCCATCAGCATCTCTTCATTGTTAAAGATGGAATTTTAGAAGGTAAAAATAATTTCTGATACATATTCATAGCTTTCTCTTGAGGTGCATGACAGTCGTATTATAAACACAATTAACTACTCAAGTCATTAAAAAGTAGGTGTCATTACTGAAATGCGATAAAAATTTAATCATGGCGGCAGCCCATTTTGATCATGACGCAGCTCGTTTAACCATGGCGAGCTACCAAGGTAAAACCCCTTGTGGAGAACCCTGTAAGAAATATAAGCCTTTATGTTCACCTGGAAGGTCATGTGAAGATGAACATAACATAATAAGAAAAAGGGGGGGGGGCTACATTAATCAGAGATGCATGGAAGATGCTTCTTGTATGTTTCATTGTACCAGCTAAGATTTCAGATGCTGCAATTTCAGCTAAGGAATGACCAGGTAAATGTTTTTGAGCAGGTTTAAGTTTTTGGAGCAGTTGAAGTTTTTTGAGTAGGTCTCCTTTCCAAGTAACTACCAGTCTGAGTATAACTTGCATGGATGATACATCTGAGGATACACACTACCAGACTTGCTTTGGTTCCTGGATCTGACCTACATTTTCCAGATGAGTAAACAGGTTAAAGTTTTTGGAGCAGCTAGGTCTCATTTCCAAGTAACTATAAGGCCTATATTGACCACACTTTGCACGGATGGTACATCTAAGGATGCATTCATGTACTACTGGACTTACTACAGATGCTGGTTCTGACCTACATTTTCCGGATGAGTGACCAGGTTAAAGTTACAAGGAGATAATTACAAAATAGTGAAAAATTTATGGCATCTTTTAAAAATCATCTTCTCAAGAACCAATGGGCCAGGTAAGGTGAATCTCACATGGAATCATCTTCAGGTAGTTTAGATTCAAACCGAAGGCTCAAGTGAGCTTTTCTGATTGAAAGGACAAGGTATGGTAACTGCCAAATCTGGCCTCTTATTATCAGAACACAGTTAAAACTGTGATAGTTTGTAGCGAAGAACTTAAAATGATGCTTGTTTTAAAACCAGGACTAATTTTGATTCAAAGCTTACACGAAGGACACAAGAAGGTGCAGAAGTGAGAAATTTCCCCGAATTTCCTCAATTATGGTGGAATTTCGTCAAATTTGAGATACTTTCACTTTGGGAAACATAGAGCACAAGATTGCCTATCTGAGATTTTTATACACAATATGCATCTGATGCAAGTGTATGAAATATATAAATTTGGTAGATAGGCAAGCTTGTGCTCTATGTTTTCTGAAACAAAATGTGCTGTAAAATTGATGAAATTTGCATAAAAAATGAGAAAATTCGGAAATTGACATATTTTCTGACCTTCCTATGACCTCTGTGTATGCCATAACTTGGAACAATACTCATATTGGGCCAGGGGGAACAACAGATTTTTATTGATAAACTGTTGCATTATTCTAAAAGACACCCCAAACCTGGGGCCAAAAAGGGGTCTTAGCCTATCTTGTCCTTTGTCCATTGTCTGTCGTTGTCATCGTTGTTGTCGTCGTTGTTAACTTTCACAATTTCATCTTCTTCCCCAGAACCACTGGGCCAAACTTGGCACAGAGTATCCTTGGGGAAAGGGGATTCAAGTTTGTTCAAATGAAGGGCCTCACCCACTTCTAAGGGGAGGTTAAGAAATAGTGAAGAATTTGTGGGGTCATATAAAAACCCAAAGAACCACAGGGGTAGAAAAGATAAAACCTATACAAAAGCTTGCTGACATAGTGTAGATTCAATTTCGTTGAAGTCATGACCCCCATGATTAGGGTGGGATAGGATGGGCAATCAAAGTTTAACTTCAGAATATATTGGTTTAATCTTTAAAACTCTTCTTCCCTAGAACAACAAAGCTATGATTTGTCACATTCATAAGGAAGCATCGTCAGGTAATGTAAATTAAGACTTGATAAAATCATGACACACCCTTCCCCCTGGGGAAGGCTGGACCACAACAGGAGATTTAATGAAGTTATACATGCAGGTGCCCTGTTAAAATCATGACACACCCTTCCCCCTGGGGAAGGCTGGACCACAACAGGAGATTTAATGAAGTTATACATGCAGGTGCCCTGTGTGTCGATTATTTTGAAAATCTTATCTCGCAGAGGTATTTCCCATGTGATCTAAAACTATTAGTCAATTTATCAAACCTATTCCAAATCTCACACCACTTGTGTATTTTTGACTTTGATTGCCAATTAATTAAATTATTAGAATTTATAATTTCATAAATACATGTATCATTTTATCCTGACAAATTTGGACTTTTAAGGTCATCTTAGTCACTCTAATGACACATTGCTTTCTTTGTTGGCTGTTGTCATGCAGGTGTGTGTGTTATTTGCAAAGATTTCCACAAAAATTGAGTTCATCCACAGCTTTGCTCCGGATCCCCCTTGTTTGATTTTTTAGTAAGAATTATTATTGTAGCTAACCCGTGAAAAAACACCATAATATTAAGCTTACCATGTAACCAAAATTAATTACTTCATATTCTACTATCCATGATGGTACATGAAAACAAATCTAAATATAATATGTAGAAATTATGAAAATGCAGGTTGAATTTTGTATTTCTGCATGTACATGTGCGTTGAACACACCATTTGATTTCACCTCTCTTTCAATGTGAGGACAGTATACATAATTATTAATATACAATAAAACATGCTTATTGGAAACTTGATTATAATAAAGAATGAATCCTCATAACACTGCTTTCTCGCCCCTTTTTAAATGCAGAATTTTACCTTTTCAAATCAGAACATTGTTATATTATAGCTAAAGTCTTCAACCATAGTCTGTAAAGATACTCATAAAAGATTTTTTGGGGAAAGAGACTTTCAATATATACATTATATTGATTAAATAAAATCGTATACTTCATTGTAAAATCCCTGTTTCGCCATTACAGCTATGTAGGTCATTGTATTATTTAAATGTGAAGGCAGAGCGTCTATCAATCGTGCGATTAGTATGAATACATTAGCATGTACGTGTTCAAGGTGTACTAAGTTTTATGATTAACTGACACCTAAAAAGCCTTTTTCATGCTAGAGACCGACAAAATATAAGGATACATTTTTAATTTGGCTGGCATATCTTTGATTTCTTTTCTGCTTAACTTATGAGTCGTATTTGAAATGATTTACTTGCAATTCGTTAAATTATTTATATATTAAATACACAATGGAATTTGGAAACAGAACGTATAACAAAGGATACACTATTTTTCACACTTTAAAGAAACCTTTTTTTTTGAAAAAGAGATAATTAATCCATTTAAGCTTATTACGTACATAATTAGAAATTTTTCATACATACTGCATAATTATATATAATTTTGCAAATTCTGAGTACTACAACAAATACACGTAGGCGGTTGAATTATGGTAAAAAATGGTGTATGGTGTATGGTGTATAAGAAATAGATAGTTAAGAAAGTGAAAATTTAAACGTCAATTAAACGTCAGTTTAACGTCAGTATCATCGCTGGTGGATAAAGAAACATCTGTGTCAGTGTACTTTGTACAGTCCAAATTGATTTGCTTCAAAAAATCCTGTTTATTCATGCCAGACAAGTTAATATGATCTTCCTCATTTAGGAATTCATTAATTGTCAAAATCCACTCCTTTTAATTTTTGATTTTAACAAACCCTCTCTATGTAGTAAGATAAATAATAAATCACTCCAAGGTATTTTTAATGCCCTTTTTCATTCGACTGATTTTTTTTTTTTACTAATATCTAGATCGGACATATGAAAGGGTCATACACATGCATGTTCTTGCTTTTAAACATTATGCTTTAAAAATACCTGCGAACATTGACTTTCTATCACATGATCTGCCAAAAAAAAAAAAAAAAAAAGTGAAATTTTGTGCCAATGTAAAAGGTTATAGCATTTGCTTCAGAAGAAACCTGAAGCTTCCTTCTATTCAAATTAGGGGTGCTTTTTGTGCAAATGTATTCATCCAGTGACTTTTCATCCGATACACAGGTTTTTTTTTAGCACTCCGTACTTCAGTTTCTTTCCATGAAGGTTTCTTCTTTTGGAAGCATGCATTTGTGCACTTGTAACAAACAATTTATTTTTCTAAAGATATGATGTATTGGTGTTTTTCAAATAATGGACTATAAAATTAATGACAGTTTTAACTGAAAAAATCTTTCATATCTTCCAAGTCAATGAAAAAAGCAATGGTGTATATTTAGGAACAATGGCAAATGTATAAAATATACCCACAGTAATTTAAGTTTTAAAATTCTGTATTTATGAGACGCAAGCAGTGAGTGCAACCTATATGCTACAGGACTTCAATATAAATTGATAGAAACCAAAAAAAAAATCAAACAAATCCGACTGAAAATCTTAACACATCTTAATCATAAAAAAAGTTTTCTCCCAGAATTTTAATTACCCATTTGAAAAATGATTTGACCATCGATAGCTCGCAGACACTAGAGACAATGAAGTGAATAGATTTCAGGCACGTGTTCAGTGCTTTGTTATTCATGAGGTCAAAGACGGGTTGGAATTTGTAAACAAGGTGCCTTTACTATGTAGACAAGCACCCGTGATTTTGCACCTTATTGGAAAATAACAAATGAGCACAAAACTGTTTCAATTTCTTTCATGAATGTAAATAGCTAGTATAAGTTTACTCTTTACATTGACCGTATTTACGACAACTTGAAAAATCCATGCGCTCATATAAAAAATGGGCTTGCAAAATCGGGGTGTGGCCTAAAGTCTATGAGAAATTGATGTAAACAACACATCCCTGCTATATTAATCACATAAATACCTAATTACAGCACAAGGAAGTAAAAATTGAAATTAATAAACTACAATGTTTGATGGAAAGATTGAGGCAAAAATATGTAGAAAATCTTTAATTTAATTTTTTGTAAATTATTGGCGGACCTGATTTGGATGTTTAAACGATTCATCCTTTACCTTACAGTAAAGTGATTTTCATTCCCCATGACTTAAAAATATATTGTAAACTTAACAGGTATAGTGAATTATTACGCCTTATAACAAAGTGAAATTGTCCGTCCCTGGCACTTCATCATAAGCATGTTTAACTGTATATCTACATGCATGTTTTAGGATCTGCAATAACTTAAGGTATCCTGATGTGATGTCATAGGTTTTTGCAAAAACTGTTATTAATTTAAACTTATACCCAATAGAATAATATCTTTTGTACGAATGCCTTTCAATTGGTGTAATGAAAAATATTGTTAAGTAAAAGAATTTTAAAAAAATACATAATATTTTCTTCATTTATTCAATTATTCAATCTTTAAAAATGTTGCTAAGGGCAATAACTCCTTCTCATGTATGTTCATTCAGGTATTCTCTTTATTGTACTTCAAATGTGGAATGGATTCCCTGATATTCACAGTTTTAAATATTTTTATAAAGAAGGAATTATTTTGGAACTTTTAATTTGAATGTGTAAATTTGAACACAATTTCCTAAAAATTCAATTAAAAAAACACAAATATCTGATTCAGAAATGTTTGCATTTTCGACTTTCAATTTAAGGTGATTTGGAAATAATTAGGGCTCCGGATTGACATCGTTGGGGTAGTTGGTCAGATTTTGAGCTGTTAATTGTTGTTTAAACACCGTTCTGTTACCCAGCCTGTCCTGTGTTTCTTAAATGATTTTAATTAAATGATCGTTCAGCAGTGTGAACTGATTATGTATACTGTACCTCTTCTATCCTTTTCAGTTATACCAATTAAATTATATTATTAAACAAACATTGTAAATTAAGTGAGAGTTTAGACTTAGTTTTGATCACTAGTATTGTGACAATACAGAATGACCTTGTGTGACATCTCTTATGATTTTTTTAATGTTTCTGAGACTTGCATGTCCACCGGGTATCTTTATTTTTCTTTCCTTTTTCCTTCTTAAATTGAAATAAGATATAAATAGTGTTCTGATAAGTCAACATAATATTTCTACATTTAACATCTTTATAGCTTTGTTTATTTTCGCAGAGCTTAAAATGAAATATAAAGAGAATTTGTGATACGATTAACCAATTAATCGGTCGGAACGTCTTGCGGTTAACGGAATGGCAATTCTGTATTCGATTGCCATCCCTTATATATATATATATATATATATATATATATATATACACCATTCATGTTAGCTCAGTTGGTAGAGCGTGATCGGGAGGTCTTGAGTTCAAATCTCGGCCTCGACTGAGCTAAGTCGATAAAAAATGGTAGCAACTGTTCCTTCGCCATGCGCTTGGCACTTTGAAGTGAAAGTTGCGGGTCCTTGGGATGAGACTTCACTGCTCAATGGCCCTGAGTGTCGAGTAAAGATCAAAATTTGAAGCCCTTCACCGGTGTATGGTGACGTCTCTATATGAGTGAAAAATTCTCGAATGGGATGTAAAACCACATACAATCAATCTATATATATATATATATATATATATATATATATATATATATATATATATATATATATAAAATATGAAGATACAATCGGTAAAATGTTTGTTGTCAATCCTCAGTTTTGATAAAAGAGATATATAGCCATTAAATGATGTGCTTTAAATGGAAATCCTTAACTAAATAACAAAATTCCTTTTTTTACAGTGGCTGATGATGACTCACCCTTAAAGACATTTATCAGGATAAATGCTGCAGATTTGAAACCAGACCCGAGCAGTGAAGTTTCTGTCTCTGCTACAGATGAAAAACATGACAATTTGGAACGAGGAAATACTGATAAAAACAATGAAGTAATTTATTGCAGAGAAGAAAAGAAAGAAAGAAATATTGAGTTGTCCAGTTCTCAAACTGAAGGCAAAGAAGAAAAGAAAGAAGATAATATGGAAATGTCTAGTTCACCAACTGAGGGCACAGAAGAAGAGACTGCAGTAGAGACAATGGCCAATATTCTCTCCTCAGAAGCACAAGCAATGGTGAAGGATGAAATTTTTCAGAAAATCTTGTCTGAAAAAGAAAAGTTACCAACAGTAAGCATGCTGGATTTTGCTGGACAGTTAGCGTATTATGCCTGCCACCAAATTTACGTAACACCAAAGGCTTTCTTCATCCTTGTGTTGGACGTGACTAAGAGGTTTGAAGATGTTGTCAGTCAAGAGAAAGATAATCAAGAAGGATCAATCTTCTCTGTGTGGACTTACAAAGGTACGACATGATGTCATGATATCAAGACTTACATAGGTAAAATATGATGTCAATATATCAAGACTTACAAAGGTAAGACATGTCATGATATCAAGACTTACAAAGGTAAGAAATGATGTCATGATATCAAGACGTACAAAGGTAAGACATGATATAGTGATATCAAGACTTACAAAGGTAAAACAGGATGTCATGATATTGACTTACAAAGGTAAGACATGATGTAGTTACATCAAGACTTACAAAGGTAAGACAGGATGTCATGATATTGACTTACAAAGGTAAGACATGATGTAGTGATATCAAGACTTACAAAGATGAGACATGATGTTGTGATATCAAGTTTATGTCTTTATGGCTGGCATTAATGAAGGTGAGATTATAATTTTGTAACAGACACTCTGGCCTGCACGCTAAAGAAGTGCTTAATTGTAGCAGGTAGCTCGTAGAAATGTGAGGGTCATATGTTTACACCTGAGTGTATATATTTATACATCATAACACAGTAACTCAATCAGTGTTTAGCTCACCAAAGCATTAGGCTCATGTGAGCTTTCTTATCAAAATTTGTCTGTCATTATCTTAATCATGTTGTAATGAAGGGCTTCACTCACTTTTAAGGGGAGATAATTAAAATAAGTGAGATCTTAATGAGATCTTTTTAAAATTTCAGAAAGCACTGGACCATAAAAGATTAAACATGTTAAAGCATTTTTAGTTAGTGAAATGTTTGTTTGTTTGTTTGTATGTTGTTTAACGTCCCTCTCGAGAATTTTTCACTCATATGGAGACGCCACCACTTGCCGGTGGAGAGCTGCAAATTTTGTCCTATGCTCGGCACTTACGGCCATTGAGCAGTGAGGGATCTTTTTCGTGCCAACACCTACTGCGACACGGGACCTCGGTTTATACGGTCTATTCGAAGGACCGGTCTCCACGTCCCACAGTGGGATTCGAACCCGTGATGTAAGGATCAACTCCTTACCTCGCGTTAGTGAAATGTAAAACTTGTTCAAATCATAACCAGCAGAGATAGGGTGGGGCCACAATAGGCATAAGGGAATGTAATGGAAAATGTTTTAAAAACAATTTTCAAGTTCAGCAAAAACCTTGATTAGTCATATTTTTCGAATAATTTAGTTATGGTTATAACACGCCGTTTGATTGGATAAAAAAAATTATATTGTATAGCCTGTGTTTCCTATGTGAAAATGACCTTATTCAAAATTGCATCACTCCTCTTTGTACAAATTGAGGGCATTTTTGATGGGGAAATTATTTTATTTTTTTACATTGAATGATAGAAAATTAAATTATTGAGAAATCACTAATTTTCTTGGAGGTTTATTTTTTGTTGTTTTCGAGGTATGAAGAGATCCAAGAATTCATGTCCACCACAAAATGTAAAATGTCATATGCATATCTACTCAACAATTCTTCATCCACAAATTAAAATTAAATCCCCACAAGCCCATACTTTTTCTTCAAACCATGAAAATATTTGATTTTACAGTTTAAGGAATGATTTTAATAAATATTAAAGTAATACTGGTATAACCTGGGTTTGAACACTTAATGTTGTTTTTTTTTATTTTTATAAACCACTTCACGGTTAATAAAGCTTGAACTATCTCAACCCAGGTTACACAGTTTTAGCTTTGGGTAGCTATTAAATTCATTCCTTATTATTTAATTTTCTATCATTAAAGTTGGTACCTGTACACAACAATGCTACCTTACAATACACTTTTGTGCAGTCCGTTTTTAATGTCAAGGTAAAGTGCTGCTCTAGTTACTGAAGTTAGAAGAATGCGTTCAAAAAGCTGTCTCCGAAAATTTTTGCTTGATTTAAATAAATTTGTTGGAGAATTAATCTTTAAAAACAACTAGACATATAATTATATACCTGTATAATGAAATATATGAAGATAACAAACAGTATTCAAGCTCAAAAGTCCATTAAACAATACAAAATAGGAACAGAGCAAACACGGACCTCCAAACATCAGAGGTGGGATCAGGTGCCATGGAGGAGTGAGCATCCCCTGCCGACCAGTCACACCCGCCGTGTGTTCCTTGTCATATTCGGGAAATAACGGAAAAATCCGCCGACAATTCAGTGTGTAAGTAATGGCCTAACAATTAGTATGAAAAAAAAATGTCTGTCAGCATTTGACTCAAAGATATATTGTATTTGCTGACAAGGTCATTGTATCGACCATAGAACTTACGAAATGATGACTTTAAGCGACACTGCTGATATTCTTGTTTCATCAACTTGTTTGTCAATAATTTACCTCGTTTTAGAAATTGTACATATGTAGAGCATGCTCTTGCGTATCGAATCAACTGAGAGATATAAACCCTGTATGCAGGTGATGAAGGTATATTGCTGCATAAGTAAGGGTAGTTGACGATTGAAAAGTTAAAGTCATCACGTTTATCATTAAGCTTGGTTGTTAGATTACCATTCCTTTTTCAAGTAAAATATCCAAATATGAAACAGATAATTTTATACCTGTATATTAACCAAAAAAATGTTTAACTCACTGTACAACTTTATCTTCCCACTGTTTGTAAGTACAATCAGAAGAGCTACACTCTCGTCAGAGACATCTGCCTGTTTTATTTTATCATGATGCTCTATTTGTTTTTGTAGACTACCTGAAGTTTTGGATTACCTCAATCAAGACATTTGGAGGCAAAAAGGCACCACTGTTTCTTGTTGTCACACACACAGAAAGAAAATCTACAGCTGTAAGTATTTATGCTAGCAGAGGTAATTCAATTTGAATGTAAATTAGGAGAAATTAACAGATCATTAACAAATTGTGAGAGTGTAAAGGTAAATTTACAGTAAAACAAACTTATAGCAAACACATGTTTATAATGAATAGACACTCACAGCAAAGTTATTTTCATTCGCAGTGGCTTTAAAATATATTTTTAAGTTAATGGATATAAGAAATTATATAATTATGAAACAAAATCACCCATCCCTGGCACTTTGTTACAAGCATGTTTTACTTTATTCTTTTTTTCTGATTTCGATTGTAAAACAAAAATTGAGTACAAATGTTTAAACTGAAATTATACATTTTCAAATCTAAATATTCAACTTAGCACAGAGTTGTATTTTAAGTTCATTTGAGCCAAAGAATGACCTTTTCTGATCAAAATTTGTCCTTTGTCTTTAAGCATTGTTGTCATCATCATTAACTTTTCACATTTTTATCTTCTCCAGAACTACTTGGCCAATTCCAACCAAACTTACTACAAAGCATTCTTGGGTAAAGGGGATTCAAATTTATTTAAATGAATTTTAAAGGTAGTTAAATAAGAGAAGTGAAAACATGCTCTATTCACGCGACCATGCAAAATTCCTGTTTTCAAAACGAGGCTTGGCGTACATAACGCGACTGCAGCAGCATGGCGTCTAGCGCATCTGTTAAAAGAATGCAGAGTTCGGTTTCCCACTGTTGTGTTCCCTGGTAATGGGGACAATGGACAAGATTTTTCTTTGTCCTCCCATCTTTTCTTAAAGACTTAGCTCTACGTAAGCAGTGGATAGTAAAAATAATGAGAGACAAAGGGCCAGACTTCCACATAATTTTTCCCAAGGTCAACGAGTACGAATGCCAGCCGGTGACCTTGTAGTTCACAGGTTAATGAAAATATATTGATAAATTACGTTATGTATAAGGTTTCGTTATGATTTAATTAATGTTATTTTCATAATTTGAAATTAAAGCTATTAAAAAAACCACTCTTGAAGTTAATCCAAGATTCCATTGATATGCTGATGCTTTCATCTGTTTGCAGTTGAACAATTGGAAGACCTAGGACCCTCTAAATAAGACCGCATATACAGTGTACATGAAAATAAACATTTTTTAATTAACCTGGATTAATTGATTAGTGATATCATCCTTAGAAACAAGTTTGTTCAAATAGTGACCCCATGGGGTAAGATGGGGCTACAGTAAGTGATGAAATTTTACATGGGTTTGCATATATTAAAACAATGTTTAAAATCTTTTTCTTTTCAAGAACAGTGGGGCTGTGATATGTGATACAAGAGTACCAAAATGTAGAATATTCCTTAAAAAAAGAATCAAACGAACAAAGAAAAAAATATTGTTCAACATAATTTAACTGTAGTAACTGCTGATAAAAAACAGAAGGGCCATAGTTACTCTTTAAGCGTTGTGGCCCATGGGCCTTTTGTTTATCAAATTATGGCTCTAGGAGTTCAGGTTGGGTACAATAAGGGATCAATATTTTAAAAGGAATTTTATGAGAATTTTTTTTTCAAATACAAGAGCCACACTATTTTTGCAATTATTTAAGGAATCACTGTCTAGTTAGTAGAAAATGCCTGGGCATCAACGAATGATCAAGAAATCAACTCAACTAACTTTCAAAGTGTTATCACAGAGAAAAAAATAGAAATGGAAATATATGGAAATTGTTGTTTGGATTCAATCAATTATAATTTTTCTTGAGAAAAGAGATGGGAGTTTTTAAAATATTGTAATAAACAACAGGAATGTCAGTGAGATTCAGGTGGGTGTTGTGGCCCTTAGGCCTCATGTATTCTTTTTTCATGATTTTATTTACCTTTTCAGGAAATTAAGAAGTATTTTGGGGAGTTTTGGGAAGCAGTTCCAGATGAGGACAGAGATTGGTTAAGAGATTCTCTCAATGATCGTGAATATGCAGTGGGTCTAGATGAACTAAATGACAACTCGAAAAAAATGCTGGAGTCAATGAAAATGTCCATAGTTGAACTGTTTAAAGATGAGATAAATACTAAAATTGAAATGCCTTCTTCATGGGCTTTAATGGAACAGTTATTGTATGAAGGAGCATGGAAGGTTTTGTCCCTTAGTGAAATCTGGAAGCTCAACTTATCCCTTCCCCATGAATACCAAATCAAAAGTGATGAGGAAATGTCTATGTTTTTAAAGTGTTTCCATGACAATGGCCTTCTTTTGTATTTTGAAGAAGAGAAATTGAGGGAAAATGCAGTGCTTGACATTCAGTGGTTTGCTAAAGCTTTCAGCAAGATTATTGCTGATGAAAACCATATCAATAAAGACTGCAAAACAAATTTAATCAAGGAATGGAAATCCTTCAATAAAACGGGAGAACTTAAAGATAAAGTAATAGATGCACTTTGGAAAGATGAACCTTCATACTTGAAACACAAAAGTGAAATTATGTCTTACATGGAGAAGCTTCAAATGCTTGTAGCTTTGGACTCTTTTGAGGCTGTATCAGAAGGTGGCATGTCATGGTATGTCCCATGTATGAACAAAAAGCAGTTTAAAGCTAACTTTTGTGAAGAAAAATGGGAATGCTCCTCCATTTTGTGCTTTCGGTTCACTTCTTTTGCCATGTTTGTGTTCTACAGACTGGTAGCATACTGCATGAGTTTTCTAAGATGGAGTGCTTCAATAGACGAAGACAATGAAGGGAGTCCTTGTCTTTATCAAACAGCAGCAGTGTTTGATCATAATGAACACACTGTTGTTGTTGGCATCTCTAATGACGATATCCAGTTGCAAGTATTGAGAATCACACCATTGACTATAGACAAGGACGTATCAAATGAAATTGGAGAATCCGTTGAAAAAGCCATAGAAAAACTGACAGAAACATTTATCGGTACAAAAATATTCCACAGAGGATACAAATGTCAAAACGTTATTTGTAATGAAAAAGATCTTTCTTTCACCCTTGCAAGTGAGCTCTCCAATATTAAAACTGATAAAGACATTCAGTGCAAGTGTCGACTGAAGGAGAAACACGTGATAAATGTAGAAAGGACTCTGAGTTTCTGGGAAAAGGTAACAATTACTAAATTATATTCCTCAGCAAACAAAACTTAACATTTAGAGGTATGTAAGGATTATCTTGCCCTTCTTTTTGTTGGTTTGTCTGCATTTATGTCTGGGCTAAGACTTGGTGGAAAATCATTGTAAAATCAAACTCGCAGAGAAATTGCATATGACCTGAGGGTATTATCATGACTTGATTTTGACCAAATGCCATTTGGGGAAAAGGTCACTGACTGGTACGAAAAAATCTAACATTCATGTTCAGTCAATTAATGTTTCTTGGAGACACTGGAATTTTATAATTTGTACAAACTTTAAGATTGTTAACTACTTACAGATGTGTCTTGATCTTAACCCAAAGTCTTTTGAACAATTTGAAAAAAAAAAAAAAAATTTCAATTACTATCCAAGCTATATCCTCTAATGGAGAAACATAGGAAGATAACAATTGACGCAAATATTGCTTATAACTTAAAGGTGATTCATAATCTTTCAAATGGATAATATATTCCGAGCTTGCTAGGATTGCTCATGACCTAACGTTATGTCATGATCTTGATGATGGCCCAAAGTTCCTTTCTGAACAAACCATTTATAGGGAACATGAGTCACTCAGACCTTTTGTTATCTGCTTTTGTTAAACACAATGCATTGTCTGTTATCTTTGAACATTTTCAGCTTCTTCTCAAGAACAGCTGAACCAATTTTAATAATTTATATATGTAGGTTAACAAAGATTGTGAAGTTCTTGGACTCTGCCTTCGAATTCTGGAGGGTTGAGTTCAGATCCATCAATATTAATGAGTTTTTAAAAAGTAAAGATGAGGATAAGTGATCAATCTATGATAAAACTAAAAACAACACAAATCTATGAACAGGGCATATGACACAGATCCTTGGAAATTCCAGAGGTGGGATCAGGAGGTTAAGGGGAGTAAGCACCCCCTGTTGACTGGTCACACCCATCGTGAGCACTATGTATTGTATTGATCAAGTGATCCTATTTCCCGTCAAATCAAGTTTCAATATTAAGAGCTAACTATTGGTATGAAATATGTCAAAGATCTGTACTCCTGAACATCTAGTAGTCAATATGTTGGCATGATTATAATATGCAATGAAACCTTTGCCTAAGATGTTAAATTCATGACCCTTGAGCTGAGTTACGTTGATCCTTTATTGAAATGCATTAAATTTTATAAAAATCTTCTTTACTGATGTTCATCCTGTAAACTGATTATGTGTATGAGTCTAATGAGTATTAAGTCTTTTAATAAATTGTGAAAAATGTATGGCCCCCTGGCTCATGGTTCCAAGTTCAAGGTTATTGCAAAATATGAATATGGTTTTCTTTGAATATGAAATGTTTGCAAGAGTTTAAGAAGTTCTAATACTTTTACCAAAATTGCAAATTCAACCCCCACCCCCATGATTCACGTTCGAGGGGTTTTGCAAAATCGAGTGCAATATTATTTAAATCATTTAATTATTCTTTCGAAGTGAAATATATGGAGATAACGAACAGTATTCAAGCTCAAAAGTCGATTAAACAATACAAATTTTAGAGCAGAGCAAACTCGTACCTCTAAAACATCAGAGGTGGGATCATGTGCCATGGAGGAGTGAGCATCCCCTGCCGACAGGTCACAACCGCCGAGTGCTCCTTGTCATGACCAGGAAATAAAAAATCCGTTGACAATTCAGTGTGTAAATAATGGTCTAACAATTAGTATGAAAAACGTCAGTCAGCATTTGACTTAATGATAGATTGTATTTCCTGACAAGGTCATTGTATCGACCATAGAACTTACGAAATGATGAATTTAAGCGAGACTGCTGATATTCTTTTTTCTTCAACTTGTTTGTCAATACCTTATCTCGTTTTAGAAAGTGTTCATACGTAGAGCATGCTCTAGTGTATTGAATAAACTGAGAGATATAAACCCCGTACATTTCTTTACAGTTTCCCTTCATCTGAATTTTCTCTATTAAACGTGTGGCCGATGTCAGTGATAAATGTAAGATAAATAGAAAGAGGCTTAATTTTTGTTATTTGCTAATTAGAAGAGCTGAAGATCAGGCTTAATTTCAAAGTTTTATTCAGAATGCCACACAAGAAGCATACCGGCGGTATGTATTTCTAAAGGTATCACACCGGTAATTGTTTTCACTATATAATTCTATATAGAATAAAAAATCTTTAAAAATCAAGTATTCGAACTCATGAAAAAATTCTTAATTGTTAAACGTTACCAGTCACATCAGCTGACACAAAAAGGGTATGTACATGGAATTTTCTGATTTTTTCCATTCACAAACAGGAATACACTCAAAACCACATGTTTTCAATGTGTTTGTAAACATCGTATGTGTACCTTAGGAAGACGCCTTCCTTTGCCATGAAAGAATTAGGTCGTGTCAAAAACCAATATTTTACAAAGTACATAAAATATCCTAAGCACAGACACCAAAAATGTAAAAATAGGAGAGGAAAATATAAAATTTCTCACAATGAAAAAAATAGTTCTTTATTATGTATGGAACTACAATTGACTGCATGAGTTCATTTTAATTGGTCAATAACCGATGTGATGTCTTCAAACATATCTTGTTTCTGTTTTAATTGTATACCATTGTTAACAGTATTATTCTTTTTCTTCAAGCAGAGAAAAAACTTTTGAATATAGAACGTCAATTTTTAAATTATACAATTCTTAATACAAGTCCTTTTCATCCTACATTTCTTCAATTACTTAAAGGCAGGGCCCTTTAAGATGGTCGGTATCTTAATGATTTCTAGTTTGCTTCAGATTTATTGACCTGTTCTAGAACTATGGCAAACAAGTTTACCAAAACACTGACCAATGTCCCTTAAGTGATGACATTGAAGAATAGCTGAATAGTAACACCATTCAATTTTCTATTACATGTACTTCTAAAAACTATCATAAACTTAATTTCCCTTTTGGTCTAGCATCATTATAAACATATAGAATAATATATTTACACGCTCTGTGATCGGAAGGTCTTGTGTTCAAATCATGGCTGCGACTAAACTAATTCGATAAAAAAAGGTAACAACTGTTCCTTCGCCAATCGCCTGGCACTTAGAAGTGAAAGTTGGTCCTTTGGATGAGACCTTAAAAATCAAGGCCCTGTGTCGTGGTAGGCGTTGGCATAATAGAGACCCCTCACTGCTCAATGGCACTGAGTGCTGAGTAAAGGTCTAAATTTGAAGCCCTTCACCAGTATATGGTGATCTCTAATTGAGTGTAAAATTCTTGAACGGAGCATAAAACAACATACAATCAATCAATCAATGTTTATACATTTTGTTCTTAGTTTCTTTTTTCTGCTAAGTTTGTTTCATCACTGTAACTATGCTTAACTGTATTTCAGAGAAAGTTGAGTGATTCCAGTACTCCAATGGCCTCTGGACAAGACCTGGGGGGTCGGTCTAGATTTGCAAAACTTGGAATGGCAATGAATGATGTGTTAAATCAGGCATACAGAGATATACTAGAGATGGAGGTCCTCCCTTCTGATATTGAGAGCAAAGCTAAAGCATCTCCAGTTTATAAAAGATTGCGCCCAGAGCAAGAACATCTCTTGCTAGATGCTAAACATTTAGGATATAAGAACTTTGACATTTCATTAACATACACATTGATTAGAAATATTAGTTCAAAGATTCCTAAACCAACAAAAGGAAAATGGGGAGAAGAGCCAGCAGCAGGAGAGGTGACAGTGGGTGATGATATCGAGAGAATTAGGTTAATCCGAAACAGTTTGACTGCTCATGTAAGCTCAGCCTCCATCCCTCAGACAGAGTTCGATGACACCTGGTTGACGATGTCAGATATCTGCCGAAGACTAGAAACCTTCACTGGAAAGAATTACTTTGATACCCTTAAGGATATAAAAACACTGACCTTGAGAAAGGAAGATGAGGATGCTATTATAAAAAATAAAATGCAAGAATTTTTTAAGACAATGAAATCAAATATGCTTGAAATTGAAACAATGCTCAATCTTAACTAAAATCTACAAACTAAGAGTTATGGATGTGGATCTAATTAGATTGCTCAAGATTTGTAATTGTGACCTGAAATAGAGTTAACTATCAAATTTGAATGAACGCATTCAAGGAATTTGATATTTGGAACTGAGATTTCTCAAAAACTTAATTCAAGGTGTAGAACATGGGTAGTTTCAATTGATAAGAAAATCACATTTGTTGTTTTACTGATTTCAATGAATTCAAACTTTAAAGTGTTGTTGGCTACACAATACAAATGTCACCTTACCTTTAACGAGGACCATTTTCAAAATAAAGAGTATAAGCAGGTCAAATTTTGAAATAATTTTGTTTAGAAGTTTTGAGCCCATCATTGAATAAATTCAAACTTTATTAATTATTGCCCGTTTAAAAAATGTCTGAAGAAATTTCAACAGAGTTTTAGAATCGACCATTTTTGAATGAGGGTGACAAGAAAAGTGAATTTTCTTGGCCGTTGGATGGATCCAAACCCCTTATTGTCCCATACTTTGATAGTGTCCAAAATCATTGCATTTCTGTACAAAAATTATTTTGTGTATTTATATACATATTCTCAATGCATCTTTTTAAAAAGCATCGATAATAAAATGCCTTTGCAATGATCATGTAAAATCTAAGAACAACTTGTCTGTGAAATATGAAGATAACAAGCAAACACCAATCTCAAAATCCATTGAAAGAATACAAATTCGGAGCAGAGCAAATACGCCCCCCCCCTAAAAAATGTGGGATCAGGTGCCATGGAGGGGTAAGCATACCATGACGACCAGTCATAACCACCGTGTTCTTATTGCCATGATCCGTAGACAATTTAGGGTTTAAATAATGGCAACAATTAGTACAAAAAACGTCAGTCAGCATTCGACTTGGTGATAGATTGTATCATAATAATTCCTAAGGGATCCTAATTCTGTAGGATTGTTATTGCGGGAATGTTTCTGATTTGTTTTAAAGGATTGTGTTTCAAATATCTATGTAACATTGCTTGTATACGTTTTAGAGTACCTGTATACTTAGGGACGGCCACATAAGTGATTATTTAATGCATGCTTGCATTTTCCAGACACAGATTTGCGATCCTTCTTTTTCGCTTGTGTCAATAATTTTTGTTAAGTATGTTAATGTATATATTATAATAAATGTGAAAAAAAAATCAAGTTGAATCAATGAATATACAAACTGTTATATAATAATGTATATACAACGTTTCCAATAAGCATGTTGGAGCTTTAGACTCATAAAGATCTCACCATAATTGAAAATTGTACTTTAACTTTATCGTGAATGGTGGATGTGCAGAATCACTTTGATGATACATCTGTCTGCAAATCAACAGTCAAATCAATGTAACATTTTTTTTTCATTTTTTTCCCTACCTAGTTCGTCCACTTCCTGATCATGAGTCTTATGGGGAGTAAACATATATGTCTGAAGACTTTTATTTGGAGAAAAATATTCTTTTTTTTTCAATCTTTAGAAAATAAAAAAATATTCTTCATTTGTTATTTTCTGATTGATTTGTAAATCACGAAAAATAAACACACAAGATCCTCATGTAATATTGTTATTGAACCCATGCTGGACGAATTTTGAAGTGCACTGTAATCATGCGACAATGTATGTATAACTGAACATCTACCTGTACATTTAGCTTTATTATTTTCAAAATCAATGATCTTATTTCCAAATCCTGAGTTTTGTACATTTTCCAAACTTATTCACCACATAATTTGTATTTATTTGATTTGTATTTTTCATTTAAATGTTATAGTTTCTTACTTGATAGAGCCTCAGAAAGCTGAACTGATTTTTATATGTTTATATGTGTCTGAACTAAATTGAGCTTGGTTTTTTTTTTTTGCTGTAATGTATGATTACACCTCTTTTTTCCTATTCTAATTAAGCTACTATACTTTTAATTTCCTTTTGCTCTGATTAATATTGTTCATAATATAGTGTGCCATTAAAATGATGCTTCTGGCTGTTCCTTGATTTAAGCTCACTTGAGCTGAAAGCTCAAATGAGCTTTCCTGATCACCCGTTGTCTGACGTCCGTCCGTCTGTGAACTTTTCACACTTTCAATTTCTTCTCAAGAACCACTGGGTCAATTTTTAACCAAACTTGGAACAGAGCATCCTTGGGTAAAGGGGTTATAAATCGTTAAAAAATTAAAAAGTTAAAATGAAAGGCCAAACCCCCTTTAAAGGAGAAATAATCAGGAAAAAGCAAAAATAGGATGAAGTCATTAAAAAATAATCTCAAGAACCACTGGGCCAGAAAAACTGAAACTTATGTAGACTGAGGTAGTGGAGACTAAATTATTCAAATCATGGTCCCAGGGAATAAGGTGAGTGTCACAATAGGGAATCCAAGATTTACATTGAAATGTGTAGGGAAAATCTTTAAAATTCTTCTTCTCAAGAACCGTTGGGCCAGAAAAGCTTAAATTTACGTGAAGACTTTCTTAGGTCGAGTAGATTCTATATTGTTCAAATCAGGGCCCTTGGGGATAAGGTAAGGCCACAGTAGGAAATCAATGTTTGATATAGAAATATTTATTTAAAATTTTTTTTTAAATCTCAAGGACAACAAAGCCATGATTAGTCAAATTGATATGGAAGCAACCTCAGTGAACATTCAAGTTTGTTCAAATCATGACCCTTATTCCTCCCCCAAGGTAGGGTGGGGCTACATTTTGCATTCAGAATTTTACATAGGAATACATGTTCATATAGGGGGAAAAAATCGAAAGAAAACCAGGGCAAAAGTGACTCAGGTGAGGGAAGTGGCCGATCCCATGTGGTTCTTGTTTGATAGATGGTATCTACCTCTTATTGAAGAACATGATTCAGCTTTGATTGTGCTATGTGTTGAATTGAATTAATATGAATTGGTATGTTTAAATGTCATGTAATAAAGAAAAAATGTATTCAGAATTGGTATGTCTTGAATTTCATATGCATGGTATTTGATATAGAAAATAGTTTTTAGAACAATACAGAGAGACCTTCTCAGAGAGAAGATGGGCGAAAAAAGTGATCGAATTGTCTGTGGTGCGAAAAATATAAAGCTAAAAAAATTAAACCTCTTGAATCTTCTCATATTATAAGACAAATTTTCCTTTTGGGGTGGTCTTTGTCCACATTTTTTTGAAAATTTATACTCAAAGTTTACACTATACATATACATTTTTGGTTTACAAAAATATTGAGCAAAGACCCATTCTTTTTCCTTAAAAAAATTCACTTCTATGACTTTAAGAGTCGTTTCTTTCCGAAACATACTTGAAGTCATTTTAGTCGAGGATCATACACAAACATGATTTAGATTGTTGAAATTGCAATGGGCACAAATTGTTTAGCTCACCTGACCTGAAAGATCAAGTAACCTTTTCTGATCACATTTTGTTTGAAATCCGTCAGTCTGTAAGTTTTTCACATTTTCAACTTCTTCTCTAAAACCACTGGACCAATTTCAACTAAACTTGCCACAAAGCATGCTTGGGTGAAGGGGATTCAAGTTTGTTCAAATAAAGTCCCACGCCCTATTTCAAGGGAGAGTAATTAAGAATTAGTTAAAATTTGGTGGTATCTTGTAAAACTCTTCTTCTCAAGATCCACTAGGCCAAAAAAAGTTGAGATTTATGTGAAAACTTCTTTACGTAGTGTAGTTTAATTCTTTTATTTGATCTTGAACCCTGGTGGAAGGGTGGGGCCACAATAGACGATCAAAGATATGGTGTATTTGAGCTAAAAAAAATAAAAATACGAGATTGGATGTAAATGAACAGGATATTTGTTATTTACGTTCAAATTAGAATTTTCACTGATTTTGAACTTGAATAACCCCACGTTTCTATAGTTAAATTGACTTCAAACTGTGTCTGATATTTAAATGCAGAGTGGGTACATAAATCGATTACTGCTTTAAATTTCTAATAATTATGAAAAGTGATTGATTTAATTTGTATAATTTACAGGAGAGTCCTATCTTTATATAAAGTAATAAAACAAATAGAAAGATCTTTTTAAATTTAGTTAGTCTGAACTTACAAAAAATACGCCATATATGACTTTAACATAGGAATACGTAGGAAAAAATCATTAAAAATCTTCTCAAGAACAGGAAAACCATAATTGATCATATTTTGATATTTATTAAACTTTGGTCGCCAATTGTGGCCCTACCCAATTCCTGGGGGGTCATGATCTTACGAAATTTGAATCTACACTACCTGAGGATGCTTTCACATGTTTCATCATTCCTGGCCCCGTTTAAAAGATGCCATTAATTTTCACTATTCCGTAATTATCTCCCTTTGGAAGATCAAAGACCAGGTCCTTTGGTTGAACGAACTTGAATCCCCTTTACCCAAGGATACCTTGTAATATAGATGAAACTGGCTAAGTGGTTCTGGACAAGATGAAATTACATGTAACTATATAAAGTTTACAATGACAAACAATGACAAATTTTGATCAGAACAGCACTCTTGAGCCTTCCCTCAAGTGGGCTAATAAACTTGTTGGATTTTACAAAAGGAGCAATTAAGTTTTTTTTTCAATTGTACCCTAATTATATTTTTTTATGAATAATAAAAAAGCATAAATATATGATATTATATTTTTAACCAAGTGTTCAAAAAGCTAACACAGTTTCATTGTAACAACAAAAATATTTATATCAAGCTTGAATGTCTTTAATAAAACATCATTCAATAAATATTTGGACATTGTGCACACCCAGTGTAGTTACACATGAATTCTGTACACAGATATTTCAACAAACTGAAGTATGATTATGTTTAAACATAATTTAAGTACTATAGTAAAATTAACTTATTAACTTAGAATTATTACATATATGGTAAAGAGCACATATACAAATCGCAAACAAAAAATCTTTTGTACACTAAAACCTTTACAAGGAAGAATATCATGGTATTACACTGTCTTTTACATTAAATAATTTATTAAGTAGAACTGACATATCATTATACAAACCAAGAAAAAAAACTTATTGGGACATGTTTGCTTTTGTCTAATGTACATTTTCTTCTTTCTAATATGTTTTATAATTTACCCCATTTACATTGAAAAACACCAATAAATGGCTACCAATGACAGCAACAAAATAATTATAATAAAATCCCTCATGATTAACAATGGACTTTTGTGTTATTGCTAAACTTGTCCCTTCATCACACTGCACCTTCCTTGTAGAACACCTGACCATATTCTACTGTTACTTTAAGACAATTTTAAAGTCTTGATGTATAAATCCTTTGAGACCAATAAAAAACACCCTGAGCAAGATTTCTTGCATACATAAAAACAGCCACCTTCCTAGAAATTTCCTAGAACAGCCAGGTTATCCTAGAAATTACCACAAAACAGCAGCACACCACTATGAGTTTGTTCCTATTTATGCGATGTCTTCCATTTTTAATGGTATAGCATCTGGTATTTTCCCATGTCTCCTGTTATAAATAGACAGAGCACGTAGAACGGCCAGGGCGCCGACTCCAGATAGTCCAATCATAAGGTAGAACATCCCAGACCAGCCATAGTTCGCTGATATCACCCCAATAATAGGGCCCTCCAAAAAGGTACCAACACTGCCAAAACCTGAAAACATAGAAAAGGTTAATTATCATTAAATGCATTAAATATACTCCCCTTCCCCTCTTATTATTACTTAAAAGGTCCCAACATTACCAAAACCTGAAAACAAAAGAGACAATACCATAATATGTATGCTCATTATTTTTTTCATTTTCAAAATATTGGCTGTTATGATTTTTAATTATTTTTCCTGGTGAAATAAAACTAATCTCGGTGGAGATTCGGCTGGCTATATCAAGAATTATTCACCTAGGCGACACTGTCGTTCGCTTCAATTAAGTCATTTAGTTGTTTAATTAACTCTCTGTCACTATTATTTTCACATTGCTTACCGTCTAGGCATGTAAATCCCAACATAAAAACATTCACTAAAATCTCCGTTCAAAATATGGCTCCCCCGACGTAATTGTTTATCTCCTCGAACTAAAGAGTTCCTATAGTCTGTTTTCTTTTATGTGATACTGAACCTCTACTGTGGCTTTTAAGTATTTTTCATAGAAATGAAAACAGACCATAGAGGAACTCTTTAGTGCGAGGAGATAAACAATGAATAATTCTTGATATAGCTGGCCGAAGTTGGGGTTGAATTTCCAGACATGAATTATGAAGGACTGTCCCGAGATTCGGTGGGCGTCAGACCAAATATCTAGCCCAGCCGAATCTCCACCGAGATTAAAATAAAACCAGCATTGGACTTTCAATGTCAGATATGATTTATTCCAGACCTATTCATATCTACAGAAATACAAAAGACAAAAGAGCTAATTTTGACAGCACATAAAAAGGAACAATTTTGGAATAAAAATACAAAAGTAGTACATGTATTTGTTTAAAGCTAGATGTCCTATAAAGTTTAAAGTATATCATCATGGGAATTTAAGTTACAATGTGTGTGTTTCTTGTTGGTATTGGTAAGAAAATACATTGATTAAAGATGCAAACTCTAGGTTCAGATATACAGTTCTCCATTTTCTATACCAAATGTACTCACCACTGACAAGACCAATAGCAGCAGTATTATCTCTATATGAAATGAACTCACCATTGACAAGACCAACAGCTGCAGCAGCAGCATTTCTTCCATCCATCTCTCCGAGCTCATTAGGGATTGATCCACCTACAAAAACAATTACAATGTAGATCCACCTACAAAAACAATCACAATGTAAGATCCACATACACAACAATGACATTGTAAGATCCGCCTACAGAACAATCACAATGTCAGATCCGTAAAAAACAACAATTACATTGTAAGATCTACCTACAAAACAATTATAATGTAAGATCCACCTACAAAACAATTATACTGTCAGATCCACCCACAAAACAATTACAATGTAAGATCCACCTACAAAACAATCACATAGTAAGATCCACCTACAAAACAATCTTAATGTCAGATCCACATACACAACAATTACATTGTAAGATCCACCTACAAAACAATTACAATGTAAGATCCACATACACAACAATTACAATGTAAGATCCACCTACAAAACAATTATACATTGTACATGTACATGTAAGATCGACCTACAAAACAATTATAATGTAAGATCCACCTACAAAACAATAAAATTGTCAGATCCACCCACAAAACAATTACAATGTATGATCCACCTACAAAACAATCAAATAGTAAGATCCACCTACAAAACAATCACAATGTCCGATCCACTTACACAACAATTACATAGAAAGATCCACCTACAAAACAATTACATTGTAAGATCCACCTACAAAACAATCATAACGTAAGATTCACAAAACATACACCATGTAATACTCTGTGAATATTTCATACATAATTACCTAGGATGCTGTCAGGGCCACAGTTGAACACTCCAGCTAAAAACATGAACACTGTGTTAAACACAATTCCCCATGTACTGGTCAGATAAAACGCCAGGAGGGAGACAGCCGATAAAGCCACGGAATAACCAGTACCCGCTAAAGACCGACCCTTAAAATACCTGTAATTAGACAAAAATCAAAAATACATCACAATTCTGGGTAAAATCAATTTTGCAGTTATAATATCTGTAAACTTTACTATGGTATGGAAAGTTTTTTTTTAATTTTGGGGCATTTGAACACACAAAATCAATATAGTCACATGTAATGTGCAGTTTATCATTTGGTAGGATATATATTAACTGAGGGATGGGGGTGTGGGTATTCTGTGTACATATAAAATAGAGTCACAATGAATCTTAAAACCTGATAGTTACATGATATCATAATTATGTTGTTTTCTTTTTTAAGAATTTCCCAAACACCCCCTCAATTGTGTTGTAGAAAAGATTACCTGTCTATGACAATTCCTATAACAGCACTGCCTAACACTCCACCCACCTCAAATGTTGTAGAAAACATACCAGCCTTGGCTTTGGTGTACTTTAACTGAAAAAGCATTTTAACATGCAAGATTTAGGTCAAAGAGAAATCATATGAAAGAAAGGATGATACATTTAAAGGTTTATACAGTTTAAACCACATCTTCTTTGTTAACCTTAGAATTTGTTTTGGTATTCTGAATAAACTAGAACTGTCCAAAAGGGACAAATACCCCCCGCTGGGTTTTTCAGAGAAGGTACCAAATCACTAATGTTTTCTAGATGTGAGAGGTGTTCACAATTTGCTTAAACAAGAGTGAAAATTTAATTACTCAATCATTATATTTTTTTAATGAATGAAACTAAGGTGCAGCCTAATAAAACATCAATACTAATAATTACAGTGTTTTTTATTACACTGAAAAAATAGTTTGCAACTATCTGTCATCTTTGTGAGACATGACACTCTGCAAATTGAATGTTGAAAAAAAAAAATTACCATAATTAATTATACAAAAATCAAATTGATCTTAATACCTTTATATCAAACTCATTTTAAAAATAAAAGGCTGGTTCCAGTAACTATGTATTTTGACAGACATAAATTACAATTAAGAGACTTAGACAACAGAGATCTTTATTTCTTTCTGCCCAATTCCCAGGAGATACAGATAAGACCTGCTTGATCAGAGATGCCCTAACAGCTTCCCACACTGAACTCATTAATTAATCTTTAACTGGATGCATGTCCACTCATTACTCCCAAGGGACAAATGGATTTACACCTTCTGCTGTGTAATGTAAAAACTGTTTTTAATACTTTGTCATTTTTTTTTTAGTTCTAATGAATAGTTTTAAGTTGTAGTTCACATTTTTGTACAGATGTTCTAGATTCTGTCTCAAACCTTAGACATGAACCCGAAATGACTAAGTCAATAAAAATGAAAAAAAACAAGAGGCCCATGGGCCACAGCACTCACCTGAGTAAGTTTGGCCTTGCTGTTTTTCACCTGATTTCTCCCCCCCCCCTGTAGTACTTATTGTGGCCCCGCCCTATCCCCAGGGGTCATTATTTGAACAGTTGGAATCTACACTACCCCAGGATGCTTCCAAGTAAGTTTCAGCTTTTCTGGCCCAGTGGTTCTTGAGAAGAAGATTTTTAAAGATTTTTACTACATATTTCAATGTAAAACTTGGATTCCCTATTGTGGCCCTGCCCTACCCCCGGGGGTCATGATTTGAACAATTTAGAATCTACACTACCCCAGGATGCTTCCACATAAGTTTCATCTTTTCAGACCCAGTGGTTCTTGAGAAGAAGATTTTTAAAGATTTTTCCTATATATTTCAATGTAAAACTTGGATTCCCTATTGTGGCCCTGCCCTACCCCCGGGGGTCATGATTTGAATAATTTAGAATCTACACTACCCCAGCATGCTTCCAAGTAAGTTTCAGCTTTTCAGGTCCAGTGGTTCTTGAGAAGATGATTTTTAAAGATTTTTACTACATATTTCAATGTAAAACTTGGATTCCCTATTGTGGCCTCGCCCTTCCCTCGGGGGTCATGATTTGAACAATTTAGAATCTACACTACCCCAGGATGCTTCCAAATAAGTTTCAGCTTTTCTGGCCCAGTGGTTCTTGAGAAGAAGATTTTTTAATGTCCCCACCCAATTTTTGTATTTTCTTGATTATCTCCCCTTTGAAGGGGACTTGGCCCTTCATTTTAAAAATTTAAACTCCCCTTTACCCAAGGTTGCTTTGTACCAAGTTTGGTTAAAATTGGCCCAGTGGTTCTTGAGAAGAAGTTGAAAATGTGAAAAGTTTACAGACGGACGGACAGACGGACAACGGGTGATCAGAAAAGCTCACTTGAGCTTTCAGCTCAGGTGAGCTAAAAAACTGTAAAATGCAGAAAAATTATCAAATAATGTTGAAAATACCAGGTGCACATCTTCATATGGTAAATAATAAGTGTACAAATTATCATACAAATCTATGCAATAGTCTCTGGGAACAGATGCAGACAAAACCACATAATAAAAATGAAAAAAAAAAACACCTGTAAAATGCAAAAAAATTATCCAATCATGATGAAAATACCAGGTGCACACCTTCATATGGCAAATAATAAGTGTACAAATTTTCAAACAAATCCTTGCAATAGTTTCCAAGAAATGGTCCGGACAAAATCTCGTCTACAGACAGACGGACAGACAGACGGACAGACAGATGGACAAGCTGATTCCAATATACCCCCCCTAAACTTCGTTTGCGGGGGGAATAATAATTTGTTAGAATTGTGTTCTGTGTTGATATATCCTCTCTTTCTCAGTCATATTGATTAATGAATGCATTACCCCCATCTTTCCCTTCTCTGTCCTACTTATGCTTAGAGCATTCAGTATATATGTAAATTTATTACCAATCAATAGACAATACCTTCCCTTTTCTGGCCAGAAGGAGAGACAAAAAACATCCAGTAGATACATTGGTAACCACATATACATGCAGTAAACCTCTCTCTCTCTCTGAATACTTACAGCATTAAGTAAATACATTGGTAACCACATATACATGCAGTATCTCACAACTTTTAAACAGAAGACAGCAACAGCCACCTCTGGTAACATCCTACCAACAAAAAAAAAGTCACCATATGATCTATAACTACAAAATTACCTACTATACATCTGGATCCTCTATCTACAGCATTCAGTTATTTGTATTAAACTACCATATAAAAACTGACAATCACAAGTATAAATACAAAGAAAAATATAAAACTGTCTTATATTCATTATATGATAATTACGAGGGTTGTCCAAAAAGTTCGTGGACAAAGGCTTAATTTTCTTAATAAAGTCTGCAAAGGCAAACGTGTACAATAATATTTTAAAATAGTCCATGACTTAGTAATTATATAAAAAATTAAAACAATACACACTATTTTATGAGCATTATAGGTGTAAATACTTTGTATATGCAAGCCGCATGGCCCAGTCTGACGTAATGCTAATTTCACGATAACGCCAAGAATATGGATTTTGAATTTTTATCACATGTTCAACGACACAAGTTAATTTTCTGCATTATGCCAAACTGCCAAGTGTGTGCAATATTATTTATGTATAGACCATAATTGATTTACTTTTTAAAATTCAAAACAATACATGATAATTTAAGAGCGTCATCAATATGAACACCTGGTATACACAGGCTGCATAGCCCAGTCCGATGGTGCTAGATTTATAACAACGTAATGAATAGGGATATCCTATTTTTCATCAAATAACAGTGATTTTCCACTTCTTACAGTGTCTCCGAAATTTAACACACCGTTGAAAAATCATATACCCCAATTACAAATCAATGAACTAAATATATTCCAATAATTTCAAGTTGTTTGAATAAATATTTTGTGTCCGATTTCGTTTCAACCATATTTAAACATAATTGTATGATTTGGACGCTGTCCCGTTCAGATGGCTGACGTCGCTTTTTCAGTAAATTTTTGAAACATACTTCTTGTGGTTTTCGCTTAATATTCTCACTGTCTATTTAGTAAGTGATACTAAACATATCAGAAAACGACGACAGCCGCTTTATTTGTGACACGTTTAATTTTTATTAAGCTTTGACTCGTTTTATAAAGAAAATAATCATTTTAATCAGAACACTTTATTTAAAAGTTTATGGCATTTTAACCCTGGTCCGTGCTCACTATCGGCGACCTTTAATGACCGCGATTTTTACAAAAATATTAAGTTCAAACAATAAAAACCAAACTATTCTGACTTGGCTTTGCATAACTAATATTTTGGTATACAATAAGTATATCTTGAACCATTCATTTTGACAAAAACGCCATTGTCCACGAACTTTTTGGACAACCCTCGTATAGCTACAAAGTAAATAAGTGTCTCACTGGATTTTCCACATCTGTAGCCACGAGGTGCTTCCTGTAGATTTTGACGATGCTGTACTCTGTGCTATAATGAGAAATAACTTCTTTAAATACATGTTTGCATGGGATATCTAAATATAATTTACAAACATCGTCCTTGAATTTCAATTGTGTTTTTCACTTACACTGGCCCTGATTTTTTATTTCTTCCTTTACTTACATTTTCCAGGAATTTCTATGCTTCCTTTACTTACAATTTCCAGGAATTTCTATGCTTCCTTTACTTACAATTTCCAGGAATTTCTATGCTTCCTTTACTTACATTTTCCGGGAATTTCTATGCTTCCTTTACTTACATTTTCCGGGAATTTCTATGTTTCCTTTACTTACATTTTCCAGGAATTTCTATGCTTCCTTTACTTACATTTTCCAGGAATTTCTATGCTTCCTTTACTTACATTTTCCGGGAATTTCTATGCTTCCTTTACTTACATTTTCCGGGAATTTCTATGCTTCCTTTACTTACATTTTCCGGGAATTTCTATGCTTCCTTTACTTACATTTTCCCGGAATTTCTATGCTTCCTTTACTTACATTTTCCCGGAATTTCTATGCTTCCATTACTTACATTTTCCAGGTATTTCTATGCTTTGTTCTTCAGGGGTGCTGAAGAACAGGAAGACCAGCACACCAAGTGTTGCCTGAAACAGCAGAAAAAATAATTCAAAGCCAAAAAAGAAATTTGACAATGATGAAGAATTATATTACAGAAAAACTAGAAAACTGAAGAAACGGCAATTAATCTAATTGTAACAGATAAAGATTAGGCTCTGGATCTTCTGCAGTAGGCAATATAATTTATCCCCAAGGAATCACTGCAGCTTTAAGAAATTTAAGTACCAGTCCACATAAAAATCAGACAAAATTGTATGAAAGTGATACATGAAGGTTTTCAGAATTCGATGATTTTTCACTCATAAATTTCTCTTGCAATATGAACAATGTATGTAAAATGAAAAATGTTTTGAGTCATGGTTACCATGGAAACCCGGCCAAAGAAATTTCCTTAGCAACCAGCAATTTTTTCCATGTTGATGGACAAAAATTCACCTATCTTTAAGGCTTAAAATAAAATTTTAATACCATGAAAATTATTCTCAATTACTGGTGTAATAAAGAAACACATTTAAAGTGTTTTAATAATGCAATAAAAGAAATTTAGGTCTTAAGTTAGTTCTGTGCTAGCCATTGGAAGGCACACATGTTTTGCAATTTTTGCTGATTCAGCATTTTTCGTGATTTTGGCAATATTCAAGGCCAAATTTAAAAAAAGGCCAGATTAATACAGCTGTTGCGTGTATTTCACATAAAAGCAGATGAATTTCTCTTTCAGAATTTGAAGTCAAATCCACGGGCCTTTTTGAAAATTAATTCGTTGCCTAGCAACAAATATGGGCATTTTGATACATAAAATGAGAAACAATGTAAAAAGTTTACGGAAAAATCAAATGAATTGTTATCTACAAAAATGAAAAACAAATTTTAAAATAGTAGAATTAAATTTGGACTTCCTAGCAAATTATTGAATATTGTATAATTATTTATCTCCATAGCAACAACAGGTTCTCCATAGCAACGGGGCAAAGAAAGTCAATTTTGACCTGTATTCATGTAATCTTATTAAAAATTTATTCAAATTAAGTCAGAAAAATGTCGTTGAGCAAAATTGACGATGAAATGTTGGTCTTATTAAAGTTTTTTTGGTACTTAATCAACCCATAGCAACAATTCCCAGTACAGGACAACCAATGTGCACTATGCCTCCTGTAAAACAGATTTGACTTTGAGATCGTATTGTTTGTCATGGAATTGAATATTCAAGTAATGTGCTGATAATTGTATATGTTGAGAGTGTGGAAAGAATATAAAATGTTGTAGCAAATTATTGAATATCGTTCATTGACTTATTTCCATAGCAACAACAACACTTCCCCATAGCAACGAGGCAAAGAAACTTAATTTTGACACATATTCATGTAAACCTGTAAAATTTATCTAAATCAAGTCACAAAAATGTGTTTGAGAAAAATTGACATTGTCATGTTTGTTTTAGGAAAGTATTTTTGTACTCATTTAACCCATAGCAACGATTCCTAGCACATAGCCAACAATTTTGTCAGTATGGGATTCATTCTCTGTAACCGCTGTATTGAAAGATTTGGCATTCATCACAGATTTCGGGGTTACATGTACGACTCTCAAATAATCACTACAGAAAGCATTACAATGTAACAATTATTCCTCATGAAAATAAATAGATAAATAAAAAGAATATTGTTTTCTTTTCAAACAGTAAGAGGATAAACACGTTTGTTCATATCTAAATATAGAGTTGTATGCATCAATAACCTCGAGTAATACTTAAGTGATTTAAGCCGATGGTCGGGCGACCAAATTATTATCGTATCATCTGCTGAAAAACTTAATCAGACGATTCTAGTATCGGACGATGCAGAGTAGTCACATTAAGGACATTGGCAAGTCAAGGTTTTCCGGAGAAAAAAGGTTTAATACAGGTTTTTTTTAACTTATGAAATAGTGATTGAGAGTGATCTCCCGTGTAGAATTCTCTAAGCCGTGAAAACCAATTAAAGCCAATGTTTACAGAGGTAAACAAAAGCACATGTACTTCCTTCAATGGGTAGAATCATCTATACAGCAAGAAAGAAAAGTAGTAATGACTTTTTTATACATTGTATTCAGGGGACAAAGAACCAAGAGGTCGTCATTCACCATAGTTGTGCTCAGTATGCTGGGAAGGGCAGATATGTGACATATGCTGAAAGGTAGACCGAGATAAGTTCCTATGTTGTATGAAGGAAGCAGCATTTAGGAACAACGAATAAAAATTGAAATAAATCCATGCCAATATTTTTATGACAATGTGTTTCAATCAATTTAGTCAATTAAATGATAGAATCAATCAACCAGTCATCTTCGCTAGCCAAGGGTTTCTGATACGCTACTCTCCTCATAAACCCTTGGCATACGGTGCTGACAAAAGACAGGATTGTTTTCGTCACGTGATCACAATTCTTACCAGGTACGGCACAGATTGCGTCATCGACAGAAATAAAAAGCGTATTTAAAAAATTAATGTTTTTAAAGAATAATTTACAGGAAGGTATTGAGTTATGTTAATTTGTTATTTAAACATGTTAAAATGCAAATCTAGATCTTCAGTATTGATTCTTAATCACATATTTTGCACGTAGCTTAAGACATTGGATGACACCATATAGCTATTCATAGAATGGCATGTTATCTTACGGGTCGTTGTTTACTTGCGTTTTTCATTCCCGATATTAAAGAGTCAAGATATTTCCCGAACGCAAATATCGTCATTTGCAAAAAACAATTGCTGATTGGTCGAACGATGTCGATCAACTCCAATCACAACTTGAGAAAAAAATCCCAACTTTTTTTAACACCGTATGCCAAGGGCTTATGAGGAGAGTAGCGTATCAGAAACCCTTGGCTAGCGAAGATGTCAACCAGTCTGACTCTCTTGACCATTATGAATAATATGTAATTATAGCTGTTAAGGGAATTAACTCAAAAATAAAGATCGGTGATGGTATGTCCATGTCTTATATATACATTTTCAGTCAAAATATCTATAAGTCATAGGAAATGAAGATACAATAATGTATATAATACAAAAACTATATGAAATAAGTGGGTTTTGGAGAAATATTATGGTGAAAAATTATGTAGGTCCCTTTTATCAACATTTACATACCGTTAGGAAATGCATTGAGAATTGCAAAAACACTGATATGACAAAATCTAAAAAGGAAGGTTGGCTTGGTAGGTTAAACAATCCAGAATATAGCCTGTTTAATACAATTAAACCTACTCAAGAGTTCTTGAAAAATTCTATACGATAACCAGGAACCTTGCCAATGTCCTTTTAATTCCTAGGAACACCGATGTCTTTACATGTTAAAAATTTCTAAATAGACCAACCCTTACCCGATCATCGTTCGCTGAGCCGCTGTTTGATTTTCACCGTCGGCTGACATTTTATGAAAACCCAATCCCGAAATGTCGATCGACCTACGACCGACATGACAAACTGTCTGGTGATGGTTGGACAATGTTCTTTATATTGACAATGATGCCTTATATTTTCAATCCTAGCAATGTTGAAGGAATCGGCCACCAACGCAGAACAATCTGATTAAAATCAGATCCTCGATGCTCCTTTTTTAACGAAATGTCGCTTAGCAACGCAGAAAAAAGTATAACTTGTCCCGACAGACACAAATTGGCCAGTCGAGGCAAAAAAAAAAGAAGTCAAAATCAGGCAAGACAACACGCAATGAACTGCCGACTGTCCCCCTAAGAATCCTATTTTTGTTTCAAAAAACTTCGGCCATTGGTCATTTTTGGAAATGTGACTGGGATGTAAGGTTTTCGAAAGACTAAAAGAATAACGTAGACTTAAAAACAGGTTGTGTTAAACATTTAAATTAAATTGAGACCAACAATATCATACATTTAAAATATGGAACAAAACATTTTAGGGGAATCTATGTATTAAATCTCTGTTTTTGCTTTTTATCTGCTATTGTATGCATTATTTATTTATGTATGTTTGAATTTTTTTGTTGTTGAATTTCTCACTAAAAAACTATATCTCCCTCCAGGATTTCTTTTTGAAAAATAAGGGGTCGTGGGCCACAAGTATCACCTGAATCTAACTGTTCCTGCTGTTATTTGAATATTTTCGCTATGTATTCTTAAGAAGTTGAGATGACCCTTTCCTAAATTAATGTGATCATGCCAGATTACCTATCGGGTCCATGATTTTGGCAAACTGAATCTGCACTGAATGAGATGCTTGGTCACAATATACTTATAATCTTGTTGTCCTTGAGAAGAAGATTCTTTAAGATTTTTCCCCCGAATTGCATCTTCTCAGGCCTTTCCGGCCATCCCCGTGAATACATTTAATGTATTTAAATCACTGGATGTTAAAAATTTGTACAAAATGGAGTGATATGTAATTTTATAATTTATATAAATATTTAATAAACATAGTTGATTGTTCCTTCTGTGGTATATTTTAATATCTTTACATTCAATGAAGATCAGTTCCATACTCCATTGAACAAAAGTCTCCCTACATTTATTCAAATGTTTCTTAAAATGGGTTATCATAGACGCCTACGTACATGTAACAAATTCGAGGTCGTTTTTTCAAATTGTTCCTCCCCCCCCCCCTTTCAACCTCATCCAATTCTTAACCTAAATCTAATAATTTGGATTTACACAGAGACAGAAAAGTATATGTCAGCTTCTTAACAACAAGTAAAAGATACAAGCTTATATCTGATCTTTTGAAAAACAGAAATTATCTCAAATGAACACAATATACGCTAGATCAACATTACCAGGGATAAGGGTTTTATTAGGTGTATAGAGTATAATTTTATGTGCTTGCTCACTTAATCTCTACCTTTTCTTTCACTGCATTTCATTTCCGGTATTTTGCGTAGCATTTCCGACATATTTTTAATTTCATTTCCGACATTTTTTTTTTCATTTCCGACAATTTTTTGTATTTCCAGAATATTTGCAGGATACCTTTCTGGCAATTTTATGTTAGCCAGATAGGTGGAAATAGAATTTTTAA